AATGTGTTAAATTCTGAGGACTTCATGCACACCTCAGATATTGTCCAGGTCAACCCCAGCAACATCTTCATCAGCTTCAACATCATCACACTTCTTCACCAAGCTGTTGATTGTAGATGCTCTGCATCTACTCAGTTGGCATGTGATAAAGACATCAGACTTTTTCATCGTGTCCTGATATCTTCAGCTTTCTGCTTCTACATCCATTTCTATGAACAATGAATGGAGTGGCCATTTGCTTGCCACTGTCATTGGGTGACTGCCAACATCTTCATAGAGGACATTGTCTATAGAAGTGAAATTTAATGAAAATACTGTCACACTGGCATTCAATGTGATTCTATCTGCACACCATAAATAATGACTTAATAAGCATAATTATCACACTGATTTGGTGGATAATTGTAAGTTTAATATTACTTCAACTATAACTTATTTGATGTAGATTTTGTTTAAAATAAAAAAAAGTTTCAGAATTTTAGGTACAGTATGTAATTTCCTTTTTATATATATATTTAACAACCTCTGGAATTACATTTAATGTGAAACCACCTACATTACTAGGCCAGTTTGGAAGTTGGCCATGTGTTTAGGACAAATCAACTGTAAAATGATAATGTGACTACAACGCTCCCCTCCAGTGAAACAATTCAAATTATTATTATTATTATCTACTTCATTTTTAGTTTATATTAAATTATAGAGATGAGAAAGTAATACAGTCATTTACTATTTACTGTTACTCTATCAGATACAGAAGTTAAATGTGGTCATTATAAATGGTACAGAACTATCAAGGCAAAATGCCAAGCAAGAAAATAACTGTACTGTTGTATGTAATACAAGTATTAGGGTCACCAAATCAAAATAGCAGATAAGAACATCATAAAGCACATATGGAGAAAAATGAGAAATTCAAAATTTTAATCAGAAAATATGAAAGCCACAGAGCATTTGGGAGACCTCAGGGTACAAGGAAGGATCATATTACATGAAATCTTAACAACAGGAAGTGAGAGTGTGAAGTAGATTCAACTCGCTCAGGTGAATGTCCAACAGAGGATTCTTGTGAACATTATAATACAAATGTATGTTCCATAAAAGTGTTTAATTTCTTGATCATCTCAGCAAATATTAGTTTCTCACAAAGACTTTGCCCAGAATTCCCATTTGAAATAAAGAAACAAAGTAAATAATATTTGTTGTTTCCTCTTTTATTTCTGGAAAGACAACAGTATTGGTCTGTAAACATATTCTGAGTTTAGCTGCGGGTTAAATAAACTACTGTGCATTGGGTAGGGGACTGAAACATCACTGATAAAAGTGTGTCTACAGGAAATCAAGTTCCAGAAAAAGACTTACTTGGAACACAATTCATTCATAACTACAATGACACTTAACATAACCACTGGAGCTTACAGATTAAATATAGCACAAAACTTTTTATATTTCTGTAAATATAAGCCGCATAATTGCTAAGTATTTATTAACAGTATGATTAAACATGATCAACTCTTCTGAAGTAAATTTTTTCTTGGAATATGTTGCTGTAACTGTTGTGTATTTCTGTTCTCTGAATGTGATGTATTGCACTGTTTATTACATTAAAGATTAATTCTATTATACATTCCCAACATCAAATTTTTAACTATTTGGATAAATCTGAAGTAATTTCAATATAATGCACTGATCTTATCTCTTAGTTATCAATAATGACTGAATCGAAAGCATCTCCTTAAGTTTTATAAAATTCTTACTGCACCTCACGTTACAGCACAATATCAGATTAAATGATAAAAATTACATTTCAAAACCTAAATTTTAATACAATGACAATTAATGGTGCCATTAACAAGAATTCTAATCTCTTTGGCCCCACCTCTTCTAACTAAATTTGGGCATACAATCGTAATGCCACCCCAGGCACTTCTGGAAGGTAGGAAGAGCAGTAACTGATCAAATGTCCCTCTACCTCACTATGTACTGATCCATACACCACAAATGCAATGATGGCCAGAATGTAAGGAAGATAATGTAAACATATATACTTGTACCATATGGACCCCACATCAAATACCACCACTGGTAAACATAATTTACAACAGCAAGTCATTAACATGTGAAGAACATAGTTGCTGATCATGCTGCATTGTTCAACACCTCCTTCATAAATAATTAAGCATATACATGGCACATATTTATTGATGATACCTACTTGAGTAGTGTATGATAAATTACCATCTTAAATCTGGACCAAATGTGAGACAAGTACTCTTGACCTATTTTCAAATTTCACTGCAACTATCCAAAGGAAATATCCGAAACTAGGCAGAATCAAGAATTAAGTAATACTTATAAAAGTGAAATATCTTAAATGAAGTGTCTTACTTGTATTTGCATACTCACTTTGTACAAGGCGGTATACTTTCACCTTCTCCAATTGTAACATCTTTCACTAATGACATTGAAGGCAATTTGTATGGAGATTCAAAGTCAAAATACGAGCAAACGGCACCCTGTAAGTTCCTGAAATAAAACTTACAATTAAAGTACAAGCAATATAATTTTTGGTTATAAAGTTACAGTTTTTGGAATATTAAACCTGTGTAAACCCTACTTATTCAATGATTTCAATTTTCACTTCACAAGTAATTTTAAGAGAAGTCTATGGGAATACAAGCAATGTAACATTAACTATAATGCGCTTTAAAATAAAAGTATTTGTATTCTGATGCTACAGGTTATTTCATGTCAAGGACTAATCGGGTACACGTAACAAAGCATGTGTACTATATTGAAACAAGTTCATGACAACTGTCACAATTGTATTTAATTCACGTACCAGTTATTCATGTCCAAGAAGAATGCAGCAGCCGTTTCATTCAGATTATTTCCAACCAATATTTGTAACTGCTTTACTAATTCATCCCTATCTGTTGTACCCAGACAGCTGAACTGCTGAAGAAGAGTTTGATCTAAATCGTTGTCTACGTCCATAGTTATGTTTCATTAATTAAGTGTTGAATTTAAAATAAACCCCCTATAATGAATTATCGGCACCTAACAGAAATATCTGAACTTTTAATGAAGTAAAGTTAACATTTGTTACACGATGAATATGCAGTATCACAGACGAAAGCAATCACTTCTCCTCATATATGGTCTACTTTTCATAAGTTAAATCCATTTTCATCTGTGTTTTGAGAGTTACAAAGCAGAGATAATTATAAGGTTATCAAAGAGTAACTAAACACATTTGTACCAGAAAAAATGGTAAATTATTAGACAGCACAAAAATATTAGCATAGGAACTAAGCGAATTATGGTTTTTTGTTTTGTTTTTGAAATTGTAAGTTAATCAAATATAATTTATATAGATTTTAAGAGCAATAAATACTCTTGGTTAACCCGCTGTGAACGTTCCATACCTAATAGAAACTAGCCAAACTAATGCCTCCTCTTGACACCAGAGGACTCGGGTCATACCACATTGTTTTGTCTATCGGCAATGTTCCTCACATTGTTGTTGGGTGTCATACACGTCAAAAGCTAGGACCCAAGGCGGTAAAAAGTTACTGTCGCTGTAGGTTTATTGGAAGTTTGTTTCAAACTTTCACTGTAAATTGTTCAAAACTGTGTAAGTGATGGGTCCAAAAACTGAAGTAAATATGAATACTGAAACATCGGTAGATATGCCAAAGTCCAATAAAACAGCGGATGAACAGGCTGTTCAAAGAGGGAAGAAAAAATCATGCGAAGAAATAGAGTCAATCGAAAATGAAGATCAAAATGCGTGTGCAAAAATACGAAGAACTGGAGAAGAGTATTTAAACACAGAAAATTGTAGCCTTCCAACCAGACTTGAAGTAATAGTTTTAAATGGAAAGTGGGATAAAAAACAAACATTTCATTCAAAGAATGCGGATATGCAGTGCATAACAATACAGGATCTTGATGTGAACGAGATGTGTATTCCGCGGATTGAAAGTGGTGGAATAGAAATTACCCTTGAAAATATTGATAGTATTTTTAAGCAGTTCTCCGAAAGTGCTACTTGTATGAATTCAAATCTAGATTTTTCAGAATCTATTCCATTAACGGAACATTCAGAGACGGAATGTAAACATATTAATGATACCGAAAACAATTGTGATGATAATCTTTCATGGCTTATAAATTTTAAAGTTGGTGCGTTGTTTAATGCTGCTGAAGCCGAGCATGTTCATGAAGGACGAAGAGAAGAAGAAATTACAAACCCAGGTATATGCTGGAAATATTGATAGATTTGAGTGTGCTTTAATCTTTACATTCTATAATAACTAACTCTACAGTGCAGTTTTCTTTGTGGAAACATTAGATTCCCACATTTTATACGGCCCTAATCATTACATTACTATTTTCACAGTAAACACCTTTGAAAGCCAACTCCCAACGTCAAATTCTATTTCTCTGAATACCATGATAGAAAGCAATATTAATATTACTTTATAATAGTGTATAACGGGAATGATCTTCCACATGTTCATACATAAAATAAATTATTTTATTTTTTACTGTCAACTTCCGTAAGTTTCGTCCGACCAACATTTTT